TTCCTCCACGTTCGGTTTGTTTTCGTTGGCGATGACAATCATATTATGTTATGCAAGGTTTGGGTAGTGATGATCAGTTTCGTTTTGGAGGAAGTTTATGTGATCATACAGAAAATGAATAATATTTCATTATTCTATTTCTCGTCGTATGAAATTTTTTGATTGATTAAAAAAATAACTCTGTATAAAATTAATTTATTGTGCCGACTATAAAAAGAATAAAAGCAAAAAAATATAAAGAAATTTATTTTGTACTCTTTAACTCGATTTTAAACTCTTTTCGTTTGTAATGTCGACGCGCGAAGACGATTTCAATAATACGCTTCAATGCGATTATGAAAAATTCGTTTATCGAGACGAATTACTCTGGTTGAAAGTATTGATTTGCTTTGTGCTTTGTTGTTTGATTATAGTTTTCCCTTTATGGTGGGAGTGAGTAACCAACACAATAGCAAATGCATATTGAAATTACTTAATCAACATTTTTAGGGAACTATGCATTCTAGGGTGTCAGCGAAGAAGGCCACGAAGGGAACCTCTTCCAATCGAGGAGTTTCGAACATTCCGTGACCTATAATAAATACTATTCGTATTTATGATGAGAAATGCAAAGGAATGGGAAATGTTACTTAATTTAGAAATCCGAACTTCGTATGAGCATACGGAAAATGGATAATGCTTCATTATTTTATTTGCCGCTTATGCTTTTCCTCGTTTGCTTTCCAAAACAGCTTAATTTATTTTGGGCTTGTTAAAATTCTGCTAACTTCACTTTGCTTACAAAAAAACATGCAATTTTTTAAAATACACCGCTATGCCAAACATAAGAAATTAAAGCACCAAATAAAAAATAATAAAATGTATTTTGCAGTCTTTTATTTCATTTGAACCATTCATATTTTGTGATGTCGACGTGCGATCTTGTTGATTTTGAATATTCCGTTCTATGCGATATAGAAGAACTACTTGCACGTGATAAATTATTTTTTTGGAGAGTGTTGCTTTCCTCCACGTTCATTTTGTTTGCTTTGGCGATGACAATCATATTATGTTATGCATGCTGGGAGTAAGTAAACAATGCAAATGCATCTGCACATCGAAGTTACATAATCGTCATTTTCAGTGCTATATTTCGACAAGCGCGACCCCGAAGACCAGTACGACGGGAACCTTCTCCCATCGAGGAATTACGAACATTTCGTGACCAATAACCTATTGGAAACTCGTGACTTCTCATTTCTCATCACATATTATAAATACTGTTCGTATTTATAAATTTACGATGCATCTAATATTTAAAGATCATTTTAAATGTATGTATGATGAGAAGTGCAAGTTTTGAGTTATGTTGGTCAGTTTGCTATTGGAGAAAGTTCGTTTGATCATAAAGAAAATGAATAATTTTGATTATTTTATTTATCTTCGTATGATATATATATATATTTTTAATTACCTGTATAATACCCTTACTTTTAAATAAATTTTGTAGTAAACACACTAAAATTTGGTTAGTTTTCTTTTATAATCAGATTTCAACATAAATCCAAATGTTAGATTTATCTTTAGTTATTTTCAATATCAAGAACAATATTAATTTAACGTCAACGTCATAACTAATTAAATCTAACACTTATTAATATCAATAGTCACATAAATTAATTAAGCTTACAATAATATCTTTCAATTTCACTAGAACGTGCATCCAAGTTTAATTTTAATTAGAAATCTTATAAAATATTTCAATTTTAATACCTATACCTTAAATTGTTGTTTTATATTTTGCTGTTAAAATAAAGTAATATCATTTAATACAGTCATACCTGCCTTACCTTTACTTATAAACCTGGTTAGCAAAAAAAAACAAAATGAAAGAAGTCAAAAAATGTTGATAATGATCTCAGAACATAAATAATCAACTGTACTCATATTTTAATGTGATTTTAATTAGTCAATTAAAAAAGTCTCTTCATTTTATTTGCTAAGGAACAGAAGGTATATGATTGAAACCCTAGTATGTTTACCTCTGAAAATAAAGTTTCGCTTAACGAAATAATCTCGTGAAATTATTCGTTAATTGAGATATCACTGTCAAATAGAATGTAAGTAGAATAAATGTGACCAACTTCATGTTAGTTAATAAAAGACATATTGCGAGAAGTATCGTCGAGAGGTGTGCAAATAATAACAAAAAAAATATTACGTGTATTACCACCAAAAATATTGTTCCAACATGTCTTATATTAAATTGAACGAAACTAATATCTACATAAAAGAAATGAATAGTAACGAAGAGATGATTTCTTGGAGTACCATACTTATTACAACATTTGTTACAGCCATAACTGCAATCATTGTCTGTTTAGTAAATGCACGCTTGTAAGTAAATATCAATTGATTGATTTTTATTATATTTATTAATCTTTGTTATGAAGTCATCGGAGGCATCAAATTCATGAATATGAACATCACGATGGAATTGTGGAATTTTGTACGTAATTAGCTTAATTTTTAATTACTTTTTCTTTTAAATTATTATTTTTAGTACAAGAAGAAATCGAATTAGAATATGCAATTCGTTTAGCAAACCAACTGGATATTTTTACGGAAGATGAAGATGAAGACGACGGTGACGACTTCCCAATAGAAAATCTTTAAAAAAAGATTATAGTTTAGCCTGTGTAGTATAAAACAATTAATGTTTTTTTTTATTCGGTTTCATTTCTCATCATATACTATAGATATGTTTTCATATTTATAAATTTATGATTAAAGAGATCATTTTTAATATAATATACGTATGATGAGAATTGGAAAATGTATGTGTATAATGTTCATTTGAATCCAATCATAGAGCAAATAAATAATGTTCAATTATATTATTTTCTTCGTGTGATTAGATTTAAATTATTAATTTTAATGTTGTTATTTTTGTTCAATAAATTTTTTTTAAACAAAATTGTTAAATTATTTCAAAATAACATTAATAATTGAAAATAATTTAAAGTATTTTTATTATATTGCTTTAATACAAACATTTTATAATTAATTACATGTAATTAATCAAAACTACACAATTATATTCAAAAATATCAACGAAATAAATTATATTGAGAAATAATTTGAAAATATTTTGCCCAATATCTTTTCTTACCATGTTCATTTTCGTATAGGCCGACAACCTGTGGTTTTCAGGAAAAGTACGGCTCCCAGCTTACTGATGCCAATATTCAACCCTCATACAACTGTTATAATTAACTATGATTATTGTCTATATGTCTTTATTTAAATATAAACCACATATAAGATATAAACCTTCAATTATGGAGAATTTCGTTAAACAATTAGATTGGAATAAGAGTACTTGACTCACCTTAATTAGTTCAGATAGGAGAAATTAATCAAATTAAATGTAATTGCCAATAATGTCTCTTATCATTTGATCCTTCAAACGTCTTATTAAAATCTCAAGTAAACGGAACAATTAGGACGGTTTCCTCAATTATCTATCAATTAAATTAGAATAATTAATTAATTATAGGAAGAAACACCTTATGATAATGTGTGTATAAAAAAATAATTAATTATATTTTTAATAATTAAAAACATATTGTTTAAATTCTGAAGAAGTAATATTCTTTTTTGTAACAACGTTAATGGTTTATCAATTATTCAAAATCTGTTGGTAAAACAATTTAAAATCAAATTTATTTCGAAAGAAACATAAAAAGTATCAATGTTTAACTTCATGTTAGTCAACAAAAATATCACACTTTGGATATATACTATATGAATGAATATAGTCTAACATGTGCGAGTGATAAGAAACATTAAACTGAAATATTGTCTCGAGTATATTATAAATCCGGTTCGAAAAAGACGTGTTAGCAATGACTTGTAAATTTGAATATTCGTTGAAGCAGAATTTGCCAAATTCATACGCCAAACATAATATAGATTTATGGCGAGATTTACTTTATGCATCGTTTATCGTATTCCTTTCCTTAATGACATTGATTCTAATTTATATAATAGCGTAAGTAAACAAAAACAATGCGAACAATGTTTTTTATTTTGTTTTAATACAATTGATAAATTCGTTTATTTTGTAGCACTCTATGGAATTATCATCACATGAAATATTTACCGTACAATAAGGAATTCCATAAAACGACTGTAGAAGATGATGATGATTAAACTTTAATAGTTTTTTTTTTTGCAATTCTCATCATAAACAATATTTATAATCGACCTACAATAAACTAGATCTTTTTAAATATCATGATGATGGATTGCAAAACGTTACGTAATAGCATAAGTACGAATAAGTGAATAAGTCTTGTTTTGTTTCTTCTAAACACAATCATAGAGCAAATAAATAACTTCAAATTATTTGATTTTGCTTCATTTGATTGTTTTTAAAATGGAAATTTTCTGCACATGTTTTACTATTGTCTTTTTGTTAAATAAATGAATATTTTTATGAAACTCGATCATTTTGTAATCATTTCACTAATTAATGTAGGAAAACATAATTGATCCAATTTAATAATATTTTATTTATGAAATAACGAGAGCAAAATAAACGAGAAATATTATTTTATGCAAAATTAATTAATTGTATTTTGAATATAACGTGAAAATACTCATCATATCATTATGCTCCAATAATTTAATTTATCCTTTTCTCACATCCTCGACATCCAAATACTGTCAAACCTGGCTTAACGTTACCTCTGATAACGAAGTTAGAACTAGTACTTTTCATGGTCTAAACCTTGTTTTATTTCCTCCTAAACACACCAAAGTCACAACCTAAACTTCAACACCTTTAAAAGTTAAATTCTACTTAAAATTGCGAACTTCGTTCTATGAAGCTTCTTTACCAGAAATAACGTTAAGCGAGGTATGACTGTATTATATCAGAATAAACTTGAACTGAAATATAAGTTAGACCACTAAATTTACATTTAGTTTCTTTTTATTATTTGTATGTCAACAACTTCATTTCAGTTAAATTTTCTTTACACGTGATATTTATAAATGTTCTAGTGCAAGCGAGTATTGAAAATATACGAAGAGTAATATAATTCTATAATTTATAAAAATGTCACATTTAGTAATGACATGTAACAATCATACACAAATTTGTACTACCCCTAGTGATATATATGTATGGGATATGATGTTGATGATGAAATGTATATTTGGTGTTGTTATTTTTATGTTTCTATTTACGATAATAGCAGTTGTCTACACTTACATAAAGTAAGTTTTTTTATTTACACACATTAACTGCATATATAATCATTTATTATTTTTTTTAGAGATATTAAAATTATCAGAGTACCGAATGATGGTGGAGACGATTCTTTTGAAACAGTATAGTTTATATCATAATACTGAAAATGGACGCAATCAATTCTCATGATACATAATAAATATTAGTAATATTTATGATTTATCTAATCAGATTAGATAATTGTTAAATATATGTATCAAGATGAAATGAAAAGCGTAAACTTTTAAATGCTTCAAATAAAATAAAAGCTTCTTTAACACAAAGATTTTTGTGTAATCATAGAGCAAATAAATAATATACAATTATTTTCATTTTGCTTCTTATGAATCCAATTTTAATATGTTTTTGTTTTGCAAATTTTTTATGTAGTAAAATGTAATCATTGATAAACATTTCTGTATATTAAACTGTAGGAATATAATCCAAATAATGCTAATAATAAATTGTTTTGAAAGATATTTAATTGTTTATGAAATTTGTAATATTTTAGTAAAAAATTATGCTTAATTTTCTAACTAGAAACTATTGGAAATTACAATTATAATAATTAATTAATAAATTATTATTTTACAACAACCTATTGATTCTGCTAAAATTTAACATCAAAATATAATTCCGTAGTATTCAGAATTATATTTTGATGTTGAACGATTTTATACAAACAATCGGATGGGAATGAAAATTTGTGAGTCCATGCGAGAAATATTACAAATATTTCATATTAATTATTATACAACATTGTGTTTCATATATTTCGTAATAATTTTTCGAACGCGCAGCTTTGGTTTCAATTAGGACAAAATTTTTACAGTATTTACTGAAAAAAAATACTAATTAGCTTGTATTTTATTAGGTTTTAAATATTTTCACATGTAGGTTAATAATAATATAAATCACAATATTTCATTTTAGTAGTTTATAAAAAAATAATGTAGATATAAAAATATGATAAGTGAATAAAAGTTAAAAATGTTAAAGGTTACTTTAGTATTAAATCTCCTAGTTTATTGAAAATACGTGTACGAAATAATAATTTACAAAAAATGTCGACAAATTCGATATGCTTCGATCCAGACTTTATGATGTATGTTTCATACTGTAGCCTGTTTGGAGGAATAATGTTTTTGTGGATAATGATATATAGTATGGGCCTTATGTAAGTAAAATAATGTTCTAAAATAAATACGATTAAATAATTAACAATTATTGAATGAAATTTTAGATTGAGAAAAATGCAATTGGAACAAAGAGCAGCAAATGCAAGAGATGCCAGACGTGGATGAATAAAACTAAATGTAACTAAAGAAACATTAGAATATTTACATAATTATATAAAAAAAAATCATAGCAATATTAAATAATTTATTTTAAATTAACTAGAATGTAACTACAGAAACATTAGAATATTTACATAATTATATAAAAAAAATACATAGCAATATTAAATAATTTATTTTAAATTAACTAGAAGATAATAATTTTTAATATATATGTAAAATAATGTGTAAATATTCGACTGTATTGTTCACATATGTTTTAATTATAACTCATATTAATCATTTATATTTATTTAACTTTGTTCTATGTAATTTTGGATTTGTGTAAATAATGTTATGCAATGCAATTATATTTTATTCAATTTGTGATATATGTGTTTAATAAATAATTATATATATTTATTTCAAGTTATTCTCACTTTTAAAAGTTTTTTTGCTTTTTAATATTATTTGAGGACAATAAAGTAGTGGAAGTCATCTATGAAATTGATTCGGTTAAATCGATTTTTAAGTAGGTCACCTGAAAATCGAATATTCCTATTCAAATAATTATAATGAGATATGAAAGAAAAAGGAATATTTAGCTTTAAAAATTCTACTTTTGCGGTTTAAAGCATTTACAATTAGCTGTTTGTAAGACATTTATTTTCATAATTCTTCATATAAACCCGCAACTACTACAAATAAATAAAACATAAGTACTACCAGTGGGTCAAAATGATCCGTTTATGAAATATTTAGAAAGAAATGGAACAAATTATTGATTTTTACAATTTATTCATTTAATTTTGAGAAATTAACATTATTTTAAACTGATTTTATTCTTCAAAACTGCAATATTTTTGAGTAAGTAGAACAAATTGGTCTCTTGCATATGTCACAAAACGTTGCTGTTTTCTTATCACTATTTAATATATAATGAAATAAATCCATTTTTTATCGAGTACATCATAGTCTTAGTGTGGTGCAAAAATTATTACATCTTGAAATCCAAATATTGATGATATTTCAAGAATGTATTTGCCATAGACGGGTCACACACTACAATAAAATAAGTACCTCTCGCCACGTCTATAATGCTCTTACTGAAAAGTACACTACTAATTTGAACAAAGCGAATGAAACAAATATCATGTGGGTCACTCTGACCCATCCGTAATAATTATTGGTTAATTTGATGCTTAATTTTAGTAAAATCATAGTTGACTTTTAAGGAAATAGTTTGTAAGCAGAAATACGATTAATATGCTTTGAATTCGAATATTTTTTTT